GGCTCCCATACATAATTAAAGCAGGAATTTGTATCTGTCTGCACTCCGTGGCCTCCTGATGAATTAATATCTGGTGGAAGTCCTACACAGCCATCAGATTAGCTCATTTATTTCTGTCAGCTGCTTGCTCTATCAGCTATTTGTAAATCAGAGCGGCTGGGTGGATGGATCGGGGGGGTGTTCAGATTGTTGGACGTGTATTTATTATCATAAATGGCCGTTATGAATTAGGTCTGTTTCAAACATCCAGGCTATAGTGCCTCAAGTGTAAGTGTACGGTGATGACTCATTTTCTTATGTTTTCCTCTGAGTAAAGGCTACACAGATGTCATGTTAGTCATGCCTTAGCGTCAGCTAATAATCTGAGATGTGGAGCAGAAAGTAAAGTGAAAACCACAGACGGATGGGTTTGTGTCTCAGTGTGATAGTCACCTGCTGTGGACTTCTGCTGCTATCAGCTCCATATTGTCCTCCTCCCCTCTGACTTGGTGTAGGCGTGTTGTGGCGTCCTCTGCCAAGTTAGAAGATGACGTGACGACATCCAGGCGCTCCAGGACTGGAGGTGTGAGCCTTCTGTGCATGGGCGGGTGCAGGGAGGGAGGGGAACAAACAAGAAGACTGCATTAACCTTTGGTCTGCAGGGGAGGGGAGGGCACAAGCAGGCCGGCCTGGTTGAAGGGACACCCCATAATCAGGCTCCTGTCAGCGCTGTTTCCAGGAGATTAATTCAGCTGGTTTCAATTCCAGCTGCTGCTCCCTTAGCCGCAGCCCAGAGTGCACATATTGTCCTGTTTAAAACACATGCATGTTCCTCTGACTCAATTTAACGCAGGCATAGCTGAGGGGGTTAGGCTGGGTCACGGGAGTAGCCGTCCTCCCTTGCAAACACAATAACATGCATCAACAAGAAAGTCCAAATTCCCAGCTCTGGTCTGGGCAGAGAGAAATGCAATCAGAACACGGTTGCAACCTCCACAGAAGAAGATGATGTTTGATCAGGGTGGACCGGGACGCGGCAGACACAGGATGTAAATCCTCCCTTATAGTTAGCATAATATTACATGACACAGCCCAGCTGCAGGAGGAATTCCTCCCAAACACCTGCTCTGTACCAGTTGGACCAGCTGAGCTGCCAGACGCAGCCCGGTTTCGTGGCCAGTCGCTGAGTAGTTGTTGCTCGCGGTGGCTAATGAACTGATGAGACGGCAGCGCTAAGGAGCAGGTGATACAGTGACAAAGATGTAGGAGCCCACTGTTAGTTACCTGTAATAGCCCAGGATGACGATGTGCACCCCAGCACCGGGCTGACAGATGTCGGGGTTCTTCTGATCATCCATTTTCCGCAGTGCGTCCGTAAAAGGTCCCGTGGCATTGATAACACATTTGGCTCTGACATCAAATTCCTGCCCTATGAAAGAAAACAGCATCAATCACCAGGGCCTATTCATCTGTGGCTGGTGACAAGCCGGATTATTAATTTATCAGCGAACGCCCCCCTCTCTCCGTAATAGAGTGGCTGGAGTGTGTCCATGGGAGACTTCCCAGGATTGTAATTAATAGGAAACAGACATACCTAATTTCCCTCTTGCTTCTTTGTGTCACAGAGTAGCCTGGTGGCAGAGACTGAGGGATCCTTTAGAAACAGTGAAGAGAAAATGTTTGTTAATGTGAGGCTTGATGTTGACGAGCCCCGGCGTATAATGGCACGCATAGTCAAAGAAACCAGGAGGACAGCAAATGATGTGTTTTGACAACTAGGTGAATGTGGAACTGGCCTTCCTAATTTGATGCCTGGTGCTGCCACTGTTAAGACAGAGGATGAAAAGAACCAAAAAGTCATGTTTTTGTTGAAGGGAGTAAAAAAAAAAAAAGGACAACCCAAAGTCAAGGAAGAAGAAGTGATGTCTGAAAACTGTTTCCATTATGCTTTCAGTCTAAGCTCTCCCTCTTTAAAGCGCTCAGCTCAACATTATTAAAGGGAGACACATCCTGCTAGAGCACACTTCCATCTTTTAAAACATCAGGGGGTGGTCATGTGTTGAGACCCTCGAATCTTCCTTTTTTTTTCACCCTTAACTGCTTTATTCTTCCAAAGGCAGCCCTATGCATGACATTTAAAAGGTAAGTAAGGCCATTTGGAGTACGCTAATTCCACCTTATGTTCCTGCCTACGAGATCTGAAGCAGCCTTTACGCCATAAAATGCTTATGAAATATTAACAACCCCTGCATTAGATGTGCAATGACTATGTGCAAACTAGTACTCGGTAAAAAACAAGTGCTGCGAGGGCCCCAGGTGTGAGGGCCGGGAGAAGGGAGGCAGGAAGAGAAGGAAGTGTCTTTTGTCGGATTTACCTGTGATCATATGTCCCTGTGGTCCGTGCTCCGCAGTCCCTCCCCTTCCGCGGCTAAGGCTCTGCCCTCTGCAGTAGGTGCAGCGCTTCAGTGTAATAGGCCGTGGCAGGCTCATACCTGGCAGCAGTCAGAGTGATGGCGAGGTTCATTCGAGCATCGTGGTGTTGTCCTGCAGCGGGGGGACGGGACCAGAGCAGGGGGATGTGACTCACCCCCAGCCTGTGACTGGTGGTATGGAAGTGTGTCGGAACCGATATGTCACATCTGTCCCTGTCACTTTGCATCAGTGCGAGGCTGCTGCGGCCACACAAGAAGCTCACTTAAAGCCACAGTGGCCCTTTGGCCTGAGTGACGACGACATTGGTTTCCTGTTTGGAAAGAAAAAAGAAGAAAGGCAGAGATAGAGATATCAAAACCTCAAATAAAGTGGTAGGATGGGATTAGACTGACAGTGACTTTGTGGGGTTTTTTTTTTTTATTGCCATGATAATGACATGAACATTTTATGTCCTAATGAGGCAAAGAAAATTATGAGCTTGTTTATAAAAATGGTTAAAAAAAATAGAAAATGTGATAAAGTATTCTCTCTTCCTCAAATGTCAAATTCTCTGATTTAAGAAGTTTTTTTTGAGAAATAGCTGCAGTTCAGTGACATGATGACTACAGCACACTGATCCATGCAGACATCGACCAATCAGAGAGTGACTTACTGCAGACCTGGACAAAACTCTAATTATTATTAACAAACTAACGACGCACCATATTTTTTTCTTTAGGTCCAGTTTTACACAAACCATAATTTGTGTCACCAATTACCAGAAATTAGAAAAACAGATTTGTTATATTATATAGAAAACTCAGTTAGAAAGAAATCACCTGAAAAAAGTGAATATGAGTTTAAAAAGCCACATCAGGTGAAACTACGCCCCCTCCCCTCCACCTCTCTGCTGATAAGCACATTTCTCAGGGTGTCACTGTGACAGTAAATCGACCCTGACAGCAGCTGATCAGGTTTAGCGGCTGAAGACCCTTTGGCAGCATCCTTCTTAACGAAGAGAGAACTCAACTATCAAGATTTATGGATTAATCCCTCTTCAACTCTAAAATACCAAAGATCTATATTCACAAGTCACAAGGTCACAAGTTTTGTAATTTAAATGAAAGGGTCTAAAAGGTGACAAATGAACAAAGCCTGGTTTCATTAGGAGGTGATTCTTATGTACATCTTTGAAGATTTATTGCCGGACAATCCCTTGGTTCAGAAGTAAAGGGAGAATAGAGATGATTAATCACTTTTAATGTTGGTGTCTGGGGTGACTTTCCTTCTATTTGTTATTGCCAGGCAAGTTCAAGTCCTCACTGTTGGCCAGGGAAAATGTTGCTACTTTGTAGGAAGGAGCAGTCTTCTCTGTGCCCTGATTTATTTTACATTTGAGCGACTTGAGGCCAGCTCGCTGGTAGGCTCTGCTTAATGCTACCACATGCTCCCAGCTATCCCCCCCACCACACCCCCAACATGGGAAATAAATAAATATTTCGAAAGCAAAAAAAGTAGGGAAAACACACACACACACACACATCAACAACAACAAAGGAAAACAACAGATTTAAAGGCCACATTTTAGAATGAATTACATACAAGAGCATGTGCCCTGCCATGATGTATTAGGAAGACCAAAAAATCCACTTCTTCATCTCCCTGTGAGCATTAGAGTGTATGGGTATATGAGCAAACTTGTGCCACCGGACACGTCCAAACACACACACACACACACACACAGAGGCAATGGAGTGGCCTTACACCGGTGGGCAGTGTCTGATCCTGGGTGATTGCTGAGCCTCACAACGAACTTTGACCCTGTGATTCACGGCTCTCTGTTGTGAGCCTGTCACAGATTGGTGGTGAGCGGAGAACAAGAGAATAAATACAAAAAAAAAATCAGGAATTCAAGGATTAGTCAAACAGTAGCAGTGGGATTTACGAACGACGCTTGTAGCACAGCTGAAATTACCTGACACACAGACAACAATGATGATGATGGTGATGATGATGATGATGATGATGATGATAATCATCGTCTGTAATTAAAAAGCTCACATGGCCAAGTGACAGAGCAAAGCTAAATGAGCATCAAAGCTCCCAGGAGGACGTGGATCCTTGGCCCCTCTCTTCCCCTTTGTCGGGGCTCTCAGTGGGGTCACACAGTCATTACCTCAGCCTAAAAAACCTCTGCACAAAAAAGGAGCTGAACATAAAAACTTTCTTCACTGTTTTTAAGAATTGGAAAAAAAAAAAAAACCTTCACATTATACAATGACATTTTCTGTGAATCTGAGTTCCGTGGGTCAGATTAGGGCAAAAATAAAATAATTTTGTTAAGGCTTGAGAACAATGTAGAATGAAACAATCTGAATATATATATATATATATATATAAAAGACAAACATCCGGGTCGTGGACCACAGGTGGAACGCAAAACCGACACTTGGCGGCCACAGGTGCACAGCTCAACCAGTGACAGCTTCAGGGGATTCACAGAATTCGATGGAGGGCAGTTCAACTGTTCCTCTGAGTTTGGTTCAAATACTTCAAAAAGGCGGCAACAAGCGCAGTGTAGTAAATGTACGGTATACACCCGCCTTGCATAGCACCATTACATTACATTACACTCGTGTTAATTATTGTCTGCATGATGAAACTATCCCACCATGATGGCTTCAAGCTCTTGAGAAGATGAACCTCAGCCGTCAAACCCCCGGTGAAGAAGGTCAGGAGAGAAAATGTCACTGCCATAACGCAGCCCAATGTGTATGGAAAGAGAGGTGGAGGAGACAGCTGGGGGAGAAATTAAACACATGCAGAGTGCATGTATAATTTTTATTTTTATTATTTCTGTAGAAATTTTATAAAAAAATAAAATAAACATTTTGGTATTCTCAAAAAAACAAAAAGGATTCAAAAATTCCTGTCAACAGCTAATGTAAAATAGCCTCTCTCCTACTTACTTCTGCTAAATGAATAAGGTTGACAGATCACTGCTCAGATAGCGGCCGCACCCCCTCAGAAGAATGTTGCCTTTTTGCAGTACATGGGAATCCACGTATCCACAAATGCTAAATGAAGTCTGACAGATGGCCTGGAGAAACAAAGTTGGGAGTTATGCAGCTATGAGGGAGACCCTGAGTGAACAGGACGTGCTATGTACACCCTGGCTAACAATCAACATATGCTTTGTTTTTCTGATGCCAACGTGAGGCACATATAGCCTGGAGATGGATCTGCGACTGGTCACAACGCTGTGGCCGAGGGAAAAATGTTGTTTCTCATTTGTTCACGCTCACATAGACAACAATTACACGGCTGCGTGAGAAGCAGGATGTTTTCTTTAAAGGTTCATGGTGGAAGATTTGGTACAAGTTATGTTAGATACAAAGCAGAAATGGTGGATTTGGAATTAAAACTTTTTTTTTTATCAGAGAGGTTGGTACATCTTCAAAAAAAAATCATTGAAAATAAAACCCTGTTGTTTGACAACTCATTTCAACAGACAGAACTGACAAACTCATCCATCCATTTATCCATCCTCTACTACTCAGTCCTAGGGAGGCACTAAAATCCTTTTGTACCACTTTTTTTCTTCTAACATCCAAAGGTTGGTTGGTACCTTCCAGTGGACTCACCCCCGCAGGAAGGTTCAGGGGGGTTGGTACGGTGCATGGAGACTGCTGCCCTCGTGACCCGGTAACGGATAAGCAGATGAAAATGAATGTATGGATGGATGGATGGATCTGAAGGTTGGAGGGCCACGCTCTATGAGTTCTCATTGTACTTTACTTTTTTTGTAGCTTACCGCTGCTTCTCCACAGAGGCAGTTATATTGGATTAAGTTATCATTAACCACCTCAATTGATTTGTGTTAAATGTTAATTATAGACATTAGGGTTATTGGAAGAATGATTAAAAACCTGTTCTTTGTCTGAGACTGATTTCAACATCTGCTCGTCCTTTAACTGCAGCTACTTTAATTGAATGTATATGGAATGTTCTAGTGATTTTGCCTCGTTTCAATTACAGTGGTTAAAATATCTCTCCTTCTCAATTTTATTTGTAATCTTCACATGTGGCATTCATATGTTTAAAAAAAAAAAAATCCTTTTCCCCGACACAGCCAGATTTGCTGTCGGATTGCTGCCACGAGCGTCTCCAGCTGTGATAAGTACTACAATTTTTAACACAGCGCAAAGTGATTCATACTGTATACTTTCACGGTGCATTAAAACGTGCACAGACCACCAGGCACTGATCGTGAATCCAGACTTGGGGGATCATAAAAAACAAAGGCTTTCACCAGATTGTTGAGCACGTGAATCACCACCTCGCAACACCATGAAAAATTAAACATCTGAAAAGTGTCGTTACACGCACAGAACACAGTCCCACTGCGCCGTCCTCTGTGATACTGTCTGCGGCCGCGTGCCTATCATGTTATGATCGGCTTGAACTCCGCTGTGACTGATGTTAGTTGGGTCACGTTTGGTGTCGGTGACAGAAGCATTGACGAGTTGAGTCGCTGCCACAGATCAGCAATGAGCGGGAGAAATCAGAAAATCTCCTGCCCCCCCCGCACACCCCCTCAGTAATGAGCCACACCTGTACACTGCTTTAAATACCAGAGAGAAGCTTTAAATGTCAGGCACAATTAAAGCTTATGATTCAAGGCTTCACCAATCAAATCAAGGCCCTTGAGTTCAAGCAAGTCTGCGAGTGCAAAGGTGATGTGGAGCTGGAGATGCTGAGGACCACTTTCCCATCCTCTCACACTTGGATGGACCTCTCAGCCTAAAGGTGGTGCTAAAGTTTACAACCATGAGACTGAACTTCTCCATCTTCCCAAATCGACGCAATGCCAAAGCAAAGGTTTGCTGCCTCCTCTGGTTTACGAGGTGAAAAAAGAGCTGAGAGCAGGAACAGTGGGGGGGCAAGGTGGGAGCGGTGGTACAGTGGGTTTTTACATGTCCACCTCAGCAGTGACCACACTAATTCTGGCTTGGGAGCTACTATTGAAATGAATTACTTAAAGTGAAAACATTACATATATATATTTACTATAAGCTGAACGTATAGTATTTATACATTATATGTTGGGGCACTGATTAAATGCATGTATCTCTCTGTCACTATATGATTCCATTCTTACAGTATATGGTCACTACTACACACTACTATGGAATTATATTTTCATGTTTTCATTTTAATTGATCTACCAACAGTCCCTTCTTGGACATCTTGGGTAACACTGCTTAAAATGTATGACAACACTATGAAATAATGCCAAAAAATCCAAATGCAATCTTGTATCCAGTCAAGCTCGTTTTTGGTCTCCTCCATAACATGACTTTTTTCACGAGGGACAAAAGTTAACATTTTAAACTCCTGTTATTTACTGGTTTTCAGACCTCACTCAGCCTGCAGTTTATTGTGGGTAAATACTGTGTTGCAAGTGGAAACATAAAAATTTCAGCTTCATACGCCGCTGCTTTAATTTGCCCTCTCTTTCATCCAAGACATGTAGCACAACCTACATTTTACTGTCTAGCTGCTGACTAGGCATTTGCGATGCCTGCAATTACACTAATTGGTCTCCTCTGCTGCTCACCTCCAGGACCCTCGTATGTTCGCACAGATAGAAAAATAAGGCTGCTAAAGAAAACACAAGCTGAGAATAATAAGGTTTCTCAAATAGTGTGAAATGTAACAGAAAATGGTGACATTTCACTTTGAACCCTGGCGACTTGTCTTAAACAATCCACAGACAAAAGGAGGACACATGGGCATCATTCCAGCCATTACTGGGGATAATTTCCTGAATTAATTCACCTTATATGATAACAACAGAGGTCCGCCAAGTTGGGGAGATTTCTTTAAAACAACTTCAGAAAATCCCAGGCAGGCAGTCATTCAAGGCAAACATGTCACTGCTTCCTGTGAATGACAAATGAACACGGGAGGGTAAATAAAGCAATATGACCAGAGGGACCAGGAATTCTGCGGATAAGTGTCAGCTGCGGAGAAAAAATGAAGCATTTACCTGTTTGTAATCCAATTTCGTGATGGCTTTCTGTAGATATCGGACTCCTCCGTGAATGAGCTCGGTGCTGCGGCTGCCGCAGCCTGATGAGAAATCGTCTGGGTTCACAGGGGCAGTTTTGAGATCTGACAATTGGGAACCAAGAAAGCACATCAACACTTGGATACTTATTGTCCCCAAATCTTTGGAATGGATCAGGATACTATTCACATATGCACAAGCCTCTACTGTAATATTCATGACTGGAACAATATTGTGAGGCCATACATATTCCATTGGTTAAAAACAACAATCATTTCCAGCAGTGTGACAGCATGGCTTCCACAGAGGAGGCGTTTGTTGTGGAGAAGGAAACCAAGTCGAGGAAATGAAGATGAGGAGAACATCGCATTTCTGAAACACGTGCTGAATTTTTACTGCAATTTGTAAAAAAAATCAGTTTTTCTAATTTCAAGACTAAAAATCTCTCTCCGTTCATAAGAAGCTCCTCAAATGTGTAAATCCCAGATTTGAGAAGAAGAATGGAGGAATAAGTGAGGATTAGAAAAGAGGGTTGAACCCCCGAGTCCCCCCGCTCCCTCTACCACACCATTAGACAATATGACTAAATAAAGGGCCAAGACTTGAAAGAAGGTTCCAACCAGCGGCAGGAAAAAT